ATGTAAATATTGTATTTATTTGTATTATTATATTATTATTTTTTATTGTTTTTCCCCCCAAATCTTTTCGATCCATGGATGGTGGAATCCACAGATGTAGCAGATATGCAAGGCCAGCTGTATTTACATTCTTCTCCATTACAGAAGGGATTTAAGACATCTTAACCAAAATGTATACAGGATAAGAAAAATCAGCAAGAAAATGACACTAACGAAAAATAAGAGTAGAAAACTCTAAGCAAGGAACAAAAGGCAAATCCTGGTTGGGGCTGCCCTGCCCAGAGCAAACCCTGAATCAGTTAGAGCACTCTCAGGAGTAACTAACTACTCCAATTGCACCGTGCTCCTGTGCTGAGACCTATCCGCCATCATGTGCCCTGTGGATTTGCTAGTGGTGGGCCCAAATTCAGCTACGAACTTTCCAGCAGACAGCCACGAGAAGTCACAAGACTGTGTCCTACTGTTCAGGGTTAAGTGTAAAAACTCTTTCAGATACCAAGGCCTGAGGGAAACTTCTCCCTAGGTCAATGATGGAGAAAGCAGGTCAAACACGATACGTTTCCTTACAGGAAGCACAGTGTGATGGAGCAGCAGTCCAAGTTCATCCTCCCAAAAAAGTACATGGAGGGCTCTATGCTGCCAGTCAGAGCCATGCACCTTGAGAAAAGGCAGAGGTCTTTCAAGGCTACCAAGTGATGCCCCGGGCCTCTCTTCAGCTGGAAGGAATCCCCGCTGGCAGGATGCTGCCAACATTGCTCAGTCCCTCATCTCCATCTTCTGCCTTGGTCCCAAGAGCTCTGCAGCAAAGGCATTCAGTTGCAGTTTCCCACTTCCGTGTATGTGGTTTCCGGGTATGTGGTTTCCTCTTTCAAAACCTTTAACTGTCTCATCATGCACGTCCTTATGACCTGCACAATCTCAAATTCGTTTTAAAACGAGGTGGGAAAACACAACACATGTTGTGAATGGTGGGAAAATTATTTTAAAAGAAAAATCAAATTATACTCTCTACTGTCCATCCTAAAAATAGACTTAAGAGGAAAGCAAGCATTAAAGAGCCTTTTTTCTTCTTAATTAAGCTGTTGGCAGGGTGGATTACAGGTCCCCACCTCAACAGTGGTCTGGGCACAAGCCCAGGGGGCATTCCAAGGTATTAAGAGCTAAGAGGACTGTGCCCTTTGAGCCCAGGTTCACAGCAAACAATGGGAACGGAGACCACAAATAGGCCACTTTTGAAACTAAGAATTAAAATTGGGAGTGTAAATAACAGATGGCAAATTCTGATCTCAAGAGACATTCCCAAAGCTTGAAAGAGCTGCAGAGCTACTTTATATAATTTGCATATCGCTGCTGTACAGTTAAAAGTGTAAATATGCAACCAATACTTAATAATCTCCATGAGCCAAAAATGAGTATTGTTTAACGCAAACAATTAAGGCACCCTGAACTTATTCTGGCCAACCACTTCGCAAATCACCATCTTCCTGGACTGAGGCACTCACCCTGTGTGAAGCCCACCTAACAGTCACCAGCCACCCTGGCTCTACAGCCTCCATGGGCCAGCCCGTTGGGTTTTCCATCCCACACACATGTCTCCCAGGTGACCCCCCACATCCCTTTTCCAGTCTCACGGACACTGATAAGGCTGGGGAAATGGTCATCACGGGTAAGGAGAAGAGCCATCCACGCACTCAACCACTCTCAGACCCGCTCTCAGTGTGCATGGCCTGGCAACACGAAAACCTGGGCAGAACCTGCCCGTCAAGGACACCTTTACAATCCCCGGGCTGGATTTAACTGAAGGCCAGAAAACTCGATTCCAACGTTAGCTTTTGAGGCCACATTCTGTGCCTGGATCCATGTGCTACTCTAAATCTTGCCCAATTATCTGCAGACACTACCATCGGAAACACACCAATAGCGAAGTTTAACAGCCAGTCTCTGCGCCTACAGTCCACCTACAAAACCACAACTGCAAGGGCCTCAACAGCTACACTGTCAATAAACCTCAGGTGTTCGGTTTACAAACACCAACTTGACACCACATCAGAGCAGACTGTACCTTATTTTTAATCATCCAGAAAATGTATTTGTCTACAGAATAAATGCTGTAGTTATAAATGCTTCAGAAGTGACACTGAATTCAGGTGAGAAGATGGACAGCTTTTACGCTTCTAAACTGTAACTAGGTTTTCTTGTTCACCCGGTTCCATCCCAAACCAGAAGCCAAAAAGGCATCGACAACAGATAGAGGCACTGAGGAATGAAGACACAAAAGCTGGGGCCCCTGCATTGAAAATGCAGATCCTCCACAGTATCACCTGCAAGCATGAAGTCGTGGAGGAAAACAGTCGTTACACTAACCAAGTAAATTTGTGCTAAAATAATCCTGTCCTGTCATTTCAGGATAGAATTAATGGTAACTGGCTGAAACAAGAATGGCCTGCAGCCCTGTGCCTAGCGGACCTCCATGCCAACAGCCTAACGTGCCCGAAACAGAATGCACAGTTCCTCTCAGAGCAGCATCTTTTGTGGTTTTACTGTAGCTTTATTACAAAATAACTGCTCACTGTAGAAAAACTGGAATATATAGAAAAGTGCTAAGAAGGATCTAAACGGTTATTTGGCATCACAATGAGTACATTCTTTTATGTTTCCTTTTCTAGGCTACACAAATGTATGCTTTGTTTTACTTTAAACACAAGGGCCTTGGACTGGCCATACTGTTTCACAGCTTACTTTCACTTAAGTATAATCTGAACCTCTCTTCATGTCAATAAAAATGTTTCAGCCACACCAGTTTTACTTGTTAGAGATGCAGACCACAGTATGGATGAATCAGTTAAGTCAATTTTGGTCCTTATCTCCTAAAGCAGGACACCTAAGATATCTGTTTCCACTTCATATGCACACCTTTAAAATTCCTTTGGAAAAAATTCTAGAACTCCCAGACCTCAGGAGAGCTGCATTTTAGAGTTTTTGATAAATACTACCCAAGCGCCCCTCAACAGGTACCGGTCCTGTCCAACTCTAGCCACCCTCTGCAGTAGCAACACTGCTGGGCTCATCTTCCAAAACACACATCCCATCAGGCTACTCTCCTGCTGAAACGTCACCAGCAGCTCTGGACACCAACCACACAAAGCCCAAATTCCTAAGCCTGGCACACAGACCTTCCCTCCACGGCCCTGTCCACCAGTCTGCCACCCACAGCCTACACCCAGCCCCAAGCAGCTGGCCTTTTTCATTGGTCCTTCACTAATTCCTGCCATTTCATGTTTCAGGAAACCTGTAGTTGTCTGCTTCAAAAACACTTCTTCATCTTCCAAGAGTGAAGTAGGGGCAAAAAAAAAAAGGTGGGGGTGTGGGCGAGACATTTCTTGATCATTTACACACCGAGTGTAAGCCTCTTTCTTCTGTTCTCCCACAGTGAGCTCAGGCACCTTGACAGTCCTCATCAACCAATACCGTCACCATTTCCTTGTGAGACTATGAACTCTGCAGAGACTGAGCCCAGCATTAGCAATCTACTTTCAATAAACAGCAGCTTAGTTAATGGACAGGGAAAAGGGAAGCTGCCGGTACAATGGAAACAGTCATGCACAATGTCCCATTGACAACCATAGCTATCCCTGGAATATTCTGTTTGAGGGCATCAAGATCTTGAACCATGACATAAAAAACTACACTGATTTTCAGGGCCACATTGTTCACTAGTCTTCTACAGGAAATCCATAATCTGAAATGACTTGGTGCTCCAAAAGTTCACTTTGGATTTTACATGCAAAAGCCTTCTGTATAAATGTTTGCCAAATTCAGTTCCATCTAAGAAAGTGAAGACTGCTCTGAAAGGCTTCAAGATAAACATGATTTATTAGCTCAAGAAATAAGGAAATGAATTCAGATTTATAAGGTAGGAGGATCTCATTAAGGTTGGTAAAAGTAACAGTCCACCTTCCTTTAAAGCATTAGGAAGAGATCATTAACTGATAACATTATCCTGAAATAAGATTCCTGTATCTCAAGCTAATGCTTCTCAAACTTTCTTCCCACAGTCCCCTACAGACTGATGCTAATCTTTAATGGTGACCTTGATCACTCCTGGGGCAAAGGGAAGCCATCCACCTCTTTCTTCTGACCACATTAAAAAAAGAATAAAACCATTCCCTATCTTCAGCCCAGAAAGGGTAAGAACCAAAACAAATAAAAGGTGCTGGATTAGCTCAAGATTGTGGGCATAAAAATGGACAAAAAAGCAAAATATGTGTGCCATTTTCTTTTTATCAAAATGTTGATTAAAAAAATCTAAACAGCATAAAAACTCTCTGAGCAAGAACAGGTAAGTGTAGCCAAGAAATGTCTGAAGCAGATGAATAACAAAGGGGAACTTGTCCACCGGATATTAAAATATTATTCAACCTCCAATAATTTCACTGGGTGGTACTGGCACAAGAACAGACAGAAAGATCAATGGAACAAAACATGAAGTCCAGAAACGTACCCAAGAATGCTGAGTATGATGAAGATGGCATTTCAGATCGGTAGGGAAACGAGAACTTTGTCAACAGTATGTGGTGCTACAACCACATACTATTTGGGGAAAAAAATAAAGTTGAGATGATTTCTACACTTTCTAGAATTAGGAAAGAAATGTGACCTTTAAAAATCTCTCCAGGGCAGCAACTGTGAACCTGCGATAGGGGAACCTAAAATCAGAAAGGAAACGACATAGACTGAACTACATAAACATGAACCTTCCATATATCACAGAACATAACTAAGAAGAACATTTTTAAATATGGGAAAAATACAAATTGCAGCTACTAATGCAAGACACAAGAAACCCAGAGGTCTAGACAAGCTGTCCTTAATTTGCATAACAAATGACTTCAGAGGAATCACAGTACCATTTTAAAGTGAAATTACCTAGAATACAAATAATTTGCAGATGAGTCAAAATAAATTATTTTATGTTTATTTACAACACCCCAGCTACCCACCTCCTTTTCCTGCATAACCCTCCAGTGGCTTTCTAATTCATTTGGAATGAAGCTTCACAAGACTGGACAGTAGCGAGCCCCTTCTGTTTCTTTTATTGGCCTTCTTGGTGTTCTTTTCCAAGCTCGTCTCTGCCTTGTGAGTTCCTAGCGCTTCCTTGGCCTTGATGCTCATCAGTGATATTCACACAACTGGCTCTTCATGATCAGACCTCAGCCCACATGCCACTTCCTCTGTAGCCTTCCCTAATCACCTAACACAGAGAGGACACACCTGCCCTGCCCCAACCCTCTTCTGTTTTCTCCACAGCACCCAAGCAGAAACTCTCTTTTTATTGTGATTTCTCTGACCAAAGAACATGAGAGAAAGCCTCCGTGTACCATAGTGTCCCCCAGGACTGAGGGTCTGAGAAGGACCACACATACATGTGCTTTACAAAGAAATGGATCCTAAGTAATGAATCAAGATCACGCTTATGAACTTAACCACTATGGTGTCACTCAGGGCATTCAAAGGTCAGCCCTGGCTGGTCTCTCATCTGCTACACTTTGAGTTTTGTCTTGCCTGCTTTGAAAAATCTGTTTCTTGTCTCCTATCAGCTGTCACTGCCCTACTATGTCTTGGTGGTCCCCATCCACCCCTCAAGCAGATGGCAGGTCTAGAAAGTAAAAATGTGTAATGATGGAGATGTTCTATCATCAAAGTGCAGTGCCTTTAGTGCAGATGGGCATTATCTCCTTGGATTTTCAAATGCCTTTTTAGCCCCTTTCTGGATCTCAGAAAGTTGTTGGAAAGAAGACATAGCTAAATACTAGTCCCTAGACCTAAATTCTGACATTTTCCATATTCTACACCACAGTACCATCTTACTGAAAGTGCTGGCATCTCCTTCATCCACAACCCAAACAACAGTTGTTTTTTATTAAAAATAAACAAACCCGAAACTAGAGTTTTCTCTAAGATAAAGAATGAATTCAGCTTTCAGGAGAAATGTAAAACTCAGCACATCCATTTCCTAACTAGAGTTCTATCTTGTGCTACAAGAGTCAAGCTTGCTTTTATACTGAACTGTGCATGGAATTTCCAATTTAAGAGCTCAGTGTGGACTTTTCGCCTGGGCTGCAGAGCACGGTAAAACTGTAATCATATGTTATAGCCTATAACCTCCATCCCAATTAAGGCCTTCCCCAAAAGTTCCTTAACTTTTAGCCTTAAGGCTAAAATCGTCTTGTGCCATCTCCTGCCGTCAGTCTAAACAGAGGGTTGGCAGGCGAGAGGTAAAGGACCCTAACTGGGCAGGGCAAGTCCACCTCCAGGCTCCAAGTACTCTGACTTCTTAAGATCTGAGAAACAAATGGAAATTTATATGAGAAAGCTGGAGTGACATGACATAGCACTTCCTGATAGGAGTCTTCCTTTCTCAGAAAGGCAGAGGTGTCACTAAGAAGAACCCAGCCTAGGGGCAAACTGTTTCTGCTTTCCCCTAACCACCTGGAAAAAAAAATAAACAATGAGATTAAATCTTCCATTCAAAAAAAGATGAGGGAGGAGATGTGGAAAGGAGGTCAAAAGTAAGAGCATCAAACCCGAGATTGGGAAATCATCTCCAACTGTGAAACAGTAGTTCTAGTTTGCATTACATTTTCTGAGTATTGCTGGTGCATTAGGCCCCCCACTGATTTGAATATATTGATAGTGCATTAGGACCCCAGCTGATTTGAATGTGCTGATACTGTAAAGATGAAAATTCATTTGTTCAGGGGGCATGGGGGAAATAAGGGAGTCACATAATTTATTACTTGTACTAACTAGTTTGGTAACTAACCCCAAAATTATAATTTTACATAGTCTATCACTACACTAGAGTCATGTGGATTTACTTTCAAAACCATGCTGTAAATCACTTATACGGTTCATCCTCGATTACTGATGTAGCTGTTTCTCTGGTCAAAAAATATGATTCCCATAAAACCTCAGGTAATGCATGATAGATCTGGGAGACAGTCCTGATCATCTGGTTCCCAAATTGCTGCATTAGTCTATGTTTATGCTACCTGCATTCTAAGCTTTTCAGCTGCTCAGGACCCTTCATGGAGGCATGTGGACTCTGGACTTAAGGAGGACCCTAATGGAAATGTGCAGAAATGGAGATCAAGCCATTCAAGGGGCAGTCACTGAAGACTGCTTTCACCGTCCTTCACAGTCCTTCACTTCCTGCCTTAAAGGCAAGGGAGATCATATATGCTTTTCCCCTCACAACATCTACTGCCTGAAAAATCTGACCAAGACTGCATTTAAAAACTGAAGTGTAAAAGCATTGTTTATAAGAACAGCTGCCAGGAGCGGTGGCTCACGCCTGTAATCCCAGCACTTTGAGAGGCCGAGGCGAGCGGATCACCTGAGGTCAGGAGTTCGAGGCCAGCCTGACCAGCACGGAGAAACCCTGTCTTTACTAAAAATACAAAATTAGCCAAGCGTGGTGGCGCACGCCTGTAATCCCAGTTACTGGGCTACTGGGGAGGCTGAGGCAGGAGAATCGCTTGAACCCGGGAGACGGAAGTGACAGTGAGCTGAGATTGTGCCAGCCTCCAGCTTAGCCAGGCTCAGCACTGGCTGTTCTGAAATTTCATTCCCACACCATTCATGCTCTAAAACCATTCCCTACATCGGTTTGTTCTGTGGCTGAATAAGACCCAAACTTTATCCATACAGTAAGTGTTTCTGTACTTCACACATACAGGGTTTCCATCAAATCCCTTTATTGAGTCTACAACCCTCTCCAACTTCAAATTCACTCCAATACAAATCTGATTCTAACCATGCCAGCCATTCCAAAATCATCTCCCTTCTAAAGCCTACATTGGCTAATCCCTTTGTTAAACCTGAACACGATTCCAGCTGCTTTTATGACTCATTTGGCCAACGAGGGCCCAGTTACTGGATAACAGGCATGAACCACTCAGCTGAACTAATTAACACCAGAATGCAGTTTTCCACTGAATCTACCAAGGGCCAAGAGCTGCTTTTCCCTAAGATACTCCCTCTCTTTACTCATCAGACTGGTGTGGTCCAGTGTGCTGCGGGCATTCTCTTTCATTTATACGAGTGCCTCCAACTGCGAAATGTAAAAGTATGATGTAGAAAGGTAGAACTAATCTACAAGGGCTCTAGATTTTCAAGGACAAAGGTACTCATTTTAGGGAATCCAACAATAACTCAATTGCCTCCACTATCAGAGGTACCGTACTACGAGTTTCTCAATATTACGAGGGAGGCCCGATCTGTCAGGCTCTTTTAACAAGAGGGGCTTGGATTTGGAAAGGCTAAAGTGCCTTAATCAGGGCGAGAGGCACACCCGGTGAGGTCCATTTGACCCCAAAGGCCATGTTCTAGAGCGTTCCGCTAGCCATCCCGCCTCCTATCTTTTCTCCCCCTGCCCGGCATCTCCCGCGAGGCACCCCGCTCCCGCCGGAAACCCAGGAAGGGCCTAGGAAGCGGGGGGAGGCGAGAGCCAGAAGAGGACCCGCAAAGCCAGCCGCCGGGATGCCGAACGCAGGAGGCGGCGCCCGGGGAGCAGGGGCTCACCTGTAGGCGGCCACGGCGCGGGTCTGCAGGTATTTCTGGGCGGTCATGACTCCCACGAAGAGAAAGTTCCTGTCGCGCTGGCCGCCATCTGGAGCAGAGCCGGGCGGCCAGAGCTGCGCCCCGCGCGCATCGCCGCGCGCCCCGCCGGCCTGGGAAGCCGCCGCCTGCCCGGACCGGCAGCCCTCGGGGCTGGCGCGGCGCCGTGGGCCCGCTCGCTTCAGCTCGGACGCGCGGGGCAGGACGAGCCGCGAGGCCAGCACGAAGCCCAGGACGAGCCCGAGCAGCACGCTGAGCCAGGCGCGCCGGCCGCGCGCGGCCATGCCCGCGCCGCTCCGCCCGCCGGGCCGCCGCCGCCGCAGGCTCCGCGCGCCCTCAGCCCGCCGCCCCCGCCCGCGG